GTGGATTACACTTTATAGGTATAGGGAGATCATGGAATGATTTAAGTTGTTATTCGTGAAGGATGTAGTGTGCATAGAGTAGGAATTTACTCGGTTGCTTAGAGGTGTGGATTACTTCTTTGGGTGTTGTAGTGCTAATGGGGCACATGTCATTCGCCCTGTTTGGGAGGTGCAATTGAGATTTGAGCAGAGTGGATGACTCTCGAGAAGGTTCTAATGGATTCAAGATTTATATGTAGCAATTGGGAATTTTTCGGATTTGTATATGGCTAGAATCTGAGATTTGCATTGGACGTAGTCGTGACTCGTGGTATTTCTATATCATCACGGATTCTACATTTCACTATCAAGAAGGTGAAGGAAATGGCTTTAGACTCGCAGAAGGTCTTCTCGGAGTGGGTGTCTCGATTGTGGTACTTTTGGGGTGCTTAAGAGGGAATACAACGACTTATCATTCTTAGGGAGGTGTGGTTTAATGCTAGGGTCTCTTATGGTGAGCTTTGGGTAAGGATCGTGGTGTTCTTGCAAGGAGAAGTGTCAACTTGAGGGTTATTCAGAAGGAACTCGGGGATATAGGACAACTTGTTAGTAGGTTGGATCAACACGGTAATGGATATGATTGGTTCTTTGGGAACATATGATGTGGTGAGTCTCTACGGGTGCTTTGTGGCAATACTCTTGGGTTTGGTGACCTACGTGGCTTGGTTGAGTTAGCGAGATTCAGTTCTGATGGCTTGGTTATGTGCGAATGAGTTTCGAAGAGTTCTCGATGCTTTCTACCGCAGTTTGAGATGGGTATTTCCTACAAGTGTGAGGAGCATGTTACGGATTGTGATTTTCTCCTGGATAGAATCAAATTGAAGTTTTCAGACTGATCGGGTTTGCTGGTGACTCAAAGTTGATTTTGAGATTCTCGTGCTTTTCATATGATGGCGTGATAGATGCGGTGTGTTGTGTGTGATTGAGATTTGCATGTGCAAACTCACTGTTCAGTTTTGAAGGGAAGTTCATGAATCCTTAGACAACATGGGCGGTTTCATATGACTAGATAAATGCTAGTGCTACTTGGTATTGCCTGAGAAGGGTGTGCATTTCAGAAGGCGCATTGTGTTTTGACTTATAGATGCTTCATTGGTATTGCGGTACTCGCCTGTTTGATCGACTGCTGATGTTCGGATTTTGCTCTGTGGCATGAAAGAATTATGGAAGTATTCCTCGTGGGATGAATATGTATGAGAGATGTGTTAGATATTCGAGTGGTGGAGTTGATATCAGCAATGGTGATTTGTTTTTTCTATGGATTTGGAGACTGGGAGTTTTAGAAGTAGATTGCTTCGTGGTTGTAGACTATGAAGATGTGGCCAATGTTATCCAGCTGGTAGTATGTGTTATAGTTAGGTCATTATGGACTTTTGGAGGGTTATTTATCTATCTAGGGATGATTGGAGTTTATCTGGAGGTCCATTGGTAGGCCTAATGAGGATGTGTATTATACACCGAGCCGAATTTGTTGACTCAACACGATTAGTGTTAAGGGGTGAGTCATTCAGTCAGAGTTGAGCTTGTTCATGATATGTTCTATGCATTTGTCTTCCATGCTACGAGGGGTTGTGATTCGTGGGTTATGTGCACACATGGTGCAGTTCTGTTTGGGCATTGTACCGAAATTCAAGTGAGATGGTGATTGGGGTGTGGAATGGTTGATTGCGCCTTGGTTATGGTCTTTCCTGGCTGTGGTATATTGTGTTATTTGCTTCTCCATGGTTATGGTCATGCACTCGTGTACTTGATGTCGAATTGCGTGTGGATGTTGATTTTGAGCATTATGGCTTGAGGTGTTTCATAGGACCGGTGTTTGGATGGGGTCATGCATTGCAGTAGAGTTTTGTTGGGATATGATCCTTTGTGATAGATTTGTGTGTCTTGGTTCTACTATATCTGATGGTTCATAGCATTGCTTTTTTGGTGGTACTTGTTGAGCTTGCGGGACGGTTCTCTCATTTGAATCATTTTCCATGTTTGAATACATTTGAATTATTGCATATTGGTGCAAGGATTGCACGGTTTGTGGCTTAGGGCTGTATTGGCGTGGCATGTCAATAGTAGCTTGTAGATGAGATGAAGTCTCTAGGCCTAAAGTGATTGCTATCGAATTTGATTACGGTGTGTTTGAAAGAGTAATATTGGAAGTCAGCTTAGAATTGGTTCTGGTTAGGCGAGAGAGATCCATGACTTGTTGATCTAAGGAGTGGTTATGAGTTTCTGCGTGTTTCACTTATCATGGCCGTGTACAAAGGTTTAAAACAAGGTTTTTATTTGATATGAGGTTCATTACCGGTACCAAGTTTGTTTTCGAGCAGCTATTGTGATCGGGAATTATTGATACGAGTGTGCGAGTAATGCAATATATCATGTAATTACATCTTGGGTTATGGTTATCATTTAATACAGCTTGTTTAGACTTATACAGTGTGTAGGTGCGAGATTTGGGTCGTATAAGGAATTCTGGATGTTGGAAATTGGGTTCCAAGGTTTATGGGCTAAGGATGAAGTAAGGATCTTCAGTTATGTTGTGTTGTCACACTTGTATGGAATAAGGTGACGTGGGATCACCCTTGGGTATATGCATGGTGACGTTACACAGTGATTTGATGACTTTGGAACGACTCATGGCACATTCAAAGGAGATGTATGTTTAAGTGGGTGGGGACGTAACGACCCGAACGGTCATTTTGAGCATTTGCACTTCACTTGGTGGTTTGAGAGCATAAGTAGCTCTGTATGATGTAGTATGACTTGTGTGTATTGTCGGTTTCGGTTTTCAAGTGATTCGAAATTAGTTTGGAAGAATGATTCTCAACTAGGAAGCTCTAAGTTGGAAGAGTTGACCAAGTTTGACTTTTGAGTATTTGACCTAAGATCGGAGTTTTGGTGGTTCCGTTAGGTCCGGATGGTGATTTTGGACTTAGGTGTATGCCCGAATTTGCATTTGGATATTTCTAGAAGGTTTCGACACTCATCGGCGAAAGTTGGAAATTTGAAGGTTTGGAATGTTCATAAGTTTGACTGAGAGTTGACTTCGATATTATCGGGTTCAAATTTTTGTTCCGGGAGTTAGAATACGTTCGATATGTCATCTGGAACTTGTATGCAAATTCGGGTTCATTTCGGATTGGTTAGGCTTGAATCAGACGCTTGGTTCGAAGTTTGAAGCTTATGAACTTAAGAGACTGATCTTGATCGACAATCCATGGTTTTGATGTTGTTATGTGTGATATTAGGCGTCAAATACGTTCATGTTATGTACTGGGACTTGTTGGTATATTTGTACGGGGTTCTGAGGGGCAAGAGTGAGTTTAGGGATGGATTCAGACTATTTCTAGGCCATTTTTAGCGGCTGGTTTTTGGCTACAGGGTGTACATTGTGATCGCATAGAATTGGTCGCGATCGCGAATAGTAAAATAAGAAAAACGAACTTGTGAATCGCGATTGCGGAAGCCTTTTCTCGTGTCACTAACCCGATTATAGAAGCTTTTATCTTACAATCTACAAGGAATTTGGAGATGATCCAAAAATAAAAGTTGTAGCCCTTTGTGTCTAGTTTTTAAAAAATCAAATCGTTTATAATTTGGGTTTTTGTACAATAAGTATGGCCGACACACTATAGGTTGTCTGAGAAGAGTTTGCGAAGGGTTAATGGATGTTTGTTCATTGCGATCGTGGGGAGACGACCGCGATTGCATAGGGTAAAAATTGTCCTGGAAAATTTTGTAATCGCGATCGTGAGGTTTGTTACCGCGATCGTGAAGGGCACCTGTGGAACACTGTATAAAGTACTCAATTTCGAAGGTCTTGGTCATTTTATCATATATTGAGATATGGAGCTCGGATTTGGGCAATATTGGATGCGATATTCACCACATGAATTGGGGTAAGTGTTTTCTACTTGGTTTGATTATATTTCATGAATCTAACTTTGATTTTTGCATTTCGATTATAAATTTTAATGAGAAATTAGGGGGTTTGTCTATAGTTCACTCATTCCCAGTGCCTACTATTTCTATATACTTTTGACAGAGTGAGCGTACAGGCCGACAAAAAATGATATCTCGCTCAGAAATTTGAATCCTATCTGTGGGGCCTTTGAAAAAAAAAAGGAAATCGCTAGGCTTTCATAACGAAGGCAATTCGAAAAAATTTCATAAAGCGAATTTTTGAGTTTTGAACATAGATTCGGAGTCGGATCTGAGTGAAACTAGTATGGTTGGACTCGTAATTGAATGAGTTGTCGGATTTTGTGAGTTTTATCGAGTTCTGAGGTGCATGCTTGGGTTTGTTTCCTTTGGCATTATTTGATGTTCTTGAGTTGCTTTTGGGTATTTTGAGTCGTTTAGTGGTCGGTACGCATGGGATGGCATTTCTAGAGTATTATTTGGCTTGCTCAGTATATGATTCGGCTTGTTCAAGGTAAGTAACATTTCTAGACTTGGTCTTGAGGGTATGAATCCATGAACTACGTGTTATGTGGTTTGTGTTGAGGTGACGCACATGCTAGGTGATGGGCATTTGGGCGTGCACCGTAGTAATTGTGACTCAGTTGATTTCGTGGAGCTTTGTAGTTGTCTAGTCTGGTTATTATTCATGTATTTCCCGTGTGTTAGAGAAATTAAACTGTGATCCATGTTAGAAACCATGTTTAGGCTATATGCTTATCCTATTGGGACCCACAGAGGTCATTTCTGTTGTTGAGTTATTTGCTTAAATTGTAATTATGTAATCAATCACATTCATCATTTGCATATCATATCTTAGTCTCTGTTATCATGTGCCGTCACATCATGTTATCATTGTTTGGGATGATTAGGATGAGATTTTGTGAGGCCGGTAGACTGGAGAGGACGATGGCCTGATTGTGAGTGATATTTATGGGATCGGGCTACACGCCACATCAGGCTTTATTGATTCATGCCATGATTGACTTATATTGGTGTTTGGGCAGGATCCGCCTCTACGGAGTCTGACATACCAGCAATGAGAGCAGGTACCTACTAAGTGCGAGTATTGAGCGTGAGTGCTGAGTGATTACTAGGATTGAGTGACTGGGAGGACTGCGTGATTGAGCGTGCTGAGTGAGGTTGACTGCTCCGAGAGCATGAGCACATGAGTTTATCACTGTGGTGCATTGCACTTGACATGCATACTTGGCATGTAGGCATGGAAATGCATTTCCTCATATTGTACGTTATTGTGATATTCATGACTTCACATTCACATTGACATAAGGCATAGAGATGTACTTTCCTCATGCCATCTGATAATGAAATATCTTATCTGTTGTTGAAAGGTTTGGGTAAAATCTTAGTATTTCTGACACACTCACATTTTTGGTGATTTCGGTGAAATATTTGGGTTTTATTGTAATACCTGAAAAGCATGCCTATTTTCCATAATAAAGAACGACCCGAGTATTATATCTTTGAGTATTACTTGTATTGTTTTCATTATATTGTTACGAGTTGTTCATGGCTGTTGGTGTCGGACTCTGACCGTTGTCCAAAATTGTCACTACTTTCAACCTAAGGTTAGTGTTACTTATTGAGTACATGGGATCGGCTGTACTGATACTACACATCTGCACCTTGAGTGCAGATTTTGGAGCTGATGTTGCTGTGTATGTCAGGTGTTGGCATCGAAGATGTACCTGCATTCCGGTTGTAGCTGCATTTTCTTTATGGTAGCTTTAGATTTATAACAATGTGTTTATGTATATTTCAAACAGATTATGTATTTATTTCATACTAGTTTTGTAAACTCTAAATCTTAGAAGCTCATGATTTCTACTACTAATCCTTGGGATTTTTGTATAAAAGTTAAGTTATTTCATTATTTATTTTTCTCAGCAGATCTCCTTGAGTTGGAATACTGCTAAGTTGGTTTACCTAGCGGTTTGGGTTAGGTGTCATTACAACTAGTTGGATTTTGGGTTGTGACACCTGCCTCTTCAAAATTCTCTCTAGCCTAGGTTTCTCGGCGCACGTTGTTAACGTATGCCGATGGTGGTAGCCAAGGCTAGAGGGCTAGGTCGTCCAAGAAAAGCAAGAAATAGCCACGGGGAAGCTCAGTTAGTGTTAGGGTAATAGCGGAAGCCCTAGAATAAGGAAACAAACAGAGAGTGGTCACACTATTAGCGACACAATTTCCAGATTTGTCGCCTCTGGTTTCTGCAACTAGATCAACTACTGGGGTTAACGAAAATATAAATCTTAGTGGAGCTCCGACACTAAAAGTAGCAGGGATCCGAGGGAAACAAGGAGATATGAGCTCAAATATCCCAAAAAGCAAAGGAGCAACGCAGTGACCAACGCAAACAATAAAAGAAAAGCCTCCAGAATCTACTTGCGCCGGACTATTCACTTAAATCGTGTTTCATAAATGGTACCTTGAAAATATACCCCCAAAATTGCTTGAAGGAAATGTAAAGGAAAAACTTGACAAAGATGAAACAGATGAGGAAATTGAAAAATGAAAATATACTCTAATAATTTATGTGATAGGAGAGACATCAGGCTAAAACTATATCAAGAAATATGTGAACCAAAACTGGAATAATATTGCAGAACTTGATGTGTATTACCACGAGGAGGGTTACTATGTTGTCAAATTCCAAACTATAGCAGATTTAAATGAAGTTCAATATGTTGGGACCGATAGTATTAACAACAAGCTCTTGATTTTAAAGCAATGGACTCCAGGATTTGACTTCAACAATGAGTATCTCACTTATTTTCCATTGTGGGTTTAAGTTCCCAAGCTTGCCCATGAGCTGCTGGAGTCGTGATTCATTGAGCCGGATAACCAATGATATTGGTGATCCAAAATACGCAAATAAGCTTACGAAAAAGCAAACCAGGATCTCATTTGCTAGAATGCTTGTAGAAGTCAATGTCAACAAAATACTACCATGGGAAATACCTGTGATAAATCCTTTAGGGAAAATATTTTAGCAGGCCGTAGAATTTGAATGGAAATCAAAATATTATGGAGAATGCGTAATGAAAGGTCATAATTGTGCTACACAAAAATTGTAAGAAACACATAAGGAGGAGCCACAACAGAATGAAATACCAAATAAGTGAAGGAGACCCTAAAAAATTAATACCAACTTGGCTACCAAAAGTTGATAATCGTATGCCAGCTACCTCCCATTGATACCCAATTTTTCCCTATATATTTTTAAATATGCAAAATACCTTCAAAATAGCATATATATGCATATATAAGCATGCCCAAGGTTTTTATTATTTTTTCCATAATTTTAAGGTTTTAAATTGATTTATTTTCTCCCTTTTTATCCATAGAATCCCAATAATTATTTCCAAAAAATTATTCTTTTTTTGATAATTCATCTATTGGATTGCTATATTTATGCCAAAATATGGCTAAGGTAATTTTTATATATTTTTGTAGTTACATTTAGTTTTTTTAAAGTTAAATTGCACATAATTGCAATATTAGCCTTTTTAAAAATTTAATTATGTTTATATGCATAAAATTGAATCCTGTATTTTTAAATTGCTAATTATGTACTCTAAATAATTTTAGCATTTTTAAATTATTTTCAGAAATTACCTACTATTTTTTACAAATTAAAAAAAAAAGGGGAAAACTGGCTATTTAAATAATAGCACCATTTGTATTTCAATTATAACCAAATACACCCCTGGCCCAATTGAAACCCCGACCCAATTAACCCAACCCACTTTAATAACCCGCCCAGCCCAGAACCAATCTTGGCCGTTGATCTCAAGAGATCAACGATCCAAAACAAACCTTCCTTTTTTATCTAACCTAACCCCCGAAACCCTAAGTCATTTTCACCAAACAACCGCCCTAATAACCCCTTTCCTCTCCAATTCTCTCTGAGACCTAGACCAAACCCTAGCCAGCGCCAGCCAAACCAGCCCTAATCCCTTCGATCCTCACTCGATCCATGGATTCCCATGGCTGTTTGAGACGTATACTTGTCTCCTACGTATCCTGGTTGCTCGTTTTTGTGATTTCATGGAAGGATCACGAAGAGATCTAATCCAGGTCTTGTTCAAAACTCTCCGAGAGTCTATCCATGGTCTTTCATGCCATTTTTCGACCATCCATGGTTGTTCGAGTAAGGTCCATGACTTTCCGGCTAAAACCGGTAACGTTCTAAGGTTTTCTCATCTTCTCTGGGTTCTTTGAAACCCTAACTCTTAAGATTTTCCACTTTCTTTAGATCTGTCTTAGATCTAGGTATATCCGTGAATTTTTAACCGATTTTCTTCATCTATACTATTTTTCCGAAAACCCTAGTTTCACTATTATTCGAATCTTCTCAGATCTTTATAGATTTGTAGTTATTCGAGTATCATTGGGTGTTTTCCTTTAAAATCTCTTGGTTTGATTAATTGTTTCGACTTCGTTTACTCTTTTTGAAATTAGGGTTCATATCAGACTTTTCTTCAAAGATTTTTCTAACTTTTCGGTGTTTAAGCTAAGTATTCTTCACTATCTTGAATGATTCTCTTATATATGCGTGAATTCTGGATGCTTCTGTCTGTTGCACTGATTTTTTCTTTCACCTGTTCTCCGTTATTTGTTTATTTTTTCTGTCAACCCAATGTATTAACTGATTCTATTTGGGGTTTGAACAATCTTCCCTATTAAAAAATCAGTATTCTTCGGGATCCTTGCGTGATTAATTTCTATTAGGGTTTTGAGCAATCTTTCTTGTTAAAATCAGTATTCTCCGAGATTTTTTACTGATTCAAATGACTGTCCTGTTAAAATCAGTGTGTGCTGGGATTTTACTTGTTTCCTTATTTGTGACCCTGATTGGTTATACTTGCCTTAATTAGTTATCAGTAATTTGGGGATCTTACTGACTCCCTATATGGTATGGTTTTGATTTATTACCTTAATTGAACCCTGTTATGACTGTTAATTGACTATTCCCCAATTAAAGGGGTCTTTCCCGGACTTCTCTATAGAAATTGATTCTGTGATTGGTTGATTGATCCTTAATTGATTGAACTCTGATTCTCTTTACCTTATTAGTTCTACTCCTAAAGTGCTATATATAAACTCTTGTTCTACCTCTCAAGACACGATCATAGTTCAGAACACACACACATACACTCAAACTCTCTCTTCTTTCTCTACTACTTGTGCTACTGCTTGTCTAGCCGGCTGAAAGCCAAGGCTAGACTGTGGAACTCTACTCGCTTTACTTTTCTGCACTTTGCTTCCTTAACTGGTATGTTCCTAGTTCAATTCTGAAGCTCAACTCTATGTGCTCCATTGTTTGCCAATCCCTGTCTCTTTCTGCACTGACTTAATGGCCCATGTTGTTTAATTGCACTTCTTGTTTACTGCTTTATTCAACATGCTTAAGTTCTGCCCTCTCTTGTTCAAATGTAATCAGCATGTCTACTTGAGTTCCTGTTTATGTCCCTCAACTAGTATGTCTCCTAATGTACTTGATTAACACTAAGTCATGACTAATTATGTGTAATAGACCCTTGCATGACTACTCCCATACCCTGTCCCTATGTCTCATTACTATTCTAATATCAAGCATGATTCCCTTGTTAACTCTTTGAAGTAATCGTTTGTGTTCTAAAAGCTAATCAGTCCCTACTTGTTCTTTGTACTTGCTGGTCTATATGCATCTCTTCTCAGCCATGTTTATGTGTTTCTGATTTGGGTCCTCTATGTCCCCAACCCCTTATTTCCCTGCCTGTGGATGTTGGAATGATACTATTTTTTGAACTTGTTCAGTGTGTGTGCTGGCTTGTTCCAAGTTGTTGTTGCTCCTATCGCTTTCTCCTCTCCAAACTGTTCTTCCCTAAGCAACTCTTCTGTTAAACTTATTTCAAACATGCTGTTTCAAAACTGTTTTTCCAACTCAACTCTTTTAAATCTATGTCAAGCACTCTCACATATACTCTTAGACCACTAGGTTCTGCCCCTTTTGTGTGAGCCTTGCCTTGGGACCCTTGAGCTCCCTCAGAACTTGGACACATAAAAGCTGGCCTTTCTAAACTGCACTTACTCTGTCTTGGTTATGCAATCTGGGTGTGAGCACTGCCCGGGATCCCTTGAGGTCCTTAGGGAACTCTGACACACCCAGATATGAGAAAGGCTATGGAACAATATTAGCACTTGGAATGATTTATTACATAACTCAGGGAGGAAGTCTTAATCAGGCTCCCTATAGTGTAACTTCTTATTTTCATTTCTACTTATGTAATTCATTTCAATGTCGGTCTGTAATAACCTGTTGTAAACAAGCATTGGGGTGGCTAGTGAAAAGGGGTGGGGTAAATATGCATGCTATAGTTGTCAAGGGTAGGAAACATGTTATTAGGGTTATATTCCTAATTGTGCAATAGAAACCATGTTTAGGGTTCATACATGTATTAGAAATCATGCTCTTAGGACCCATGTTTTCTTGCCTCAGCATCTCATCTGTCACTAATCCATGTTTTATGTCTATCACTTAGAAATCCTGCTCCTAGGACAATAACAACATTGGCATAAAAGTTGTTACTCTCGTACTTTCAGAAGTCATATTTCAATAATTCTGCAACTCTTGTGCGCATTTAGAAATCATGCCTTAGGGATTCTATTTTTTAACAATCTTGCCATTTGCATGTGCATATTAGATATCATGTTCTAGGATCTTGTTTGCAGTTTGTTTAAG